CCCCAGCCTCCCCTCCCCCCCCTGCGGGAACCTGCCGCATGCCAGAGCACGTGTGGTATGGGCATTCCCTGGGGACAAACAGCAGTGGCACAAGGTCCCCAGCGAAACAAACACCCACGCTCGCCTGGACGCACCCCATGGTTTTATATGGACTCTTTCTGTTCTTGTCCATCTCATTACAGTTCATTTAATTGGCTTGAATACGAGTATCAGCACCTCCAGAAAGTTCTTGGTCAGCTCGGCTTTCAAGATGGTTCTGCTCTAGTGTCAAAACATGTCATGGCTTTTACGGAAGTTGAGCTTTTTCATGAGAGTCACCAACTCATCACATTTCCCAAACACTTAATACTTGCAGAAAAGAATCGGACATACATCTGAGCAAGAATCACTCACTCTAAGGTGCTCTTGGCGAAGAAATTATTCCTTTGCAGTTTAGCATTTGATGGAGTGAGGCAAAACATTGTTACCATCTGATACTCGTTTATGCAGCAGAACCTGTCTCTTTCACATGAAGGAGTTTCATGTTCAGGAATTAATGTCTCTTAAGATAGCACCAATTCAGGCATTGAGAGTGCAAGCTCATCATTTGATGGCAGAATTTTGATTCATTTGCAGATGGAGTGAAGGTAAAAAGCATGTTGAAATAAATAAATGAGCTGGAATCAGTACTGAAGAGGGGATGACAGGAGAAAAACCTCTTGTGATGATGAAAGGTAAGCCTTGCCTAGTACTTCTAGTCAGACTTCAGCAGATGTCTTTTGTGGAGCTGCTACTCTGGGGGAGTAAGAAGGATAAGGGAGGACTGAATGGATCACATATTTAAATATTTCCCAAGGCTACTTTCTTATTCTTAGAGTTAATTTGTCCTCCGTGCAGTAGCTTCTGCCCTGTGAAACAGGTAGTTAACCCCTCTGTCCACAAACCTGTCAACATGGGAAAGTCTTTCTGATATAATTTTAGTATTTTCTGTATTACGTTCACACTTGACTTCAGGTTGTATTTATTGTCAATCCAGTTGAAATGAAAGGGGGTGGGAACCAGTTAGCCGGATAACCAGTGTGAACTATAGCTTCTGGTGTATCTGGTGTTGGGTACATTAGACAACTTTCTTTGCTGTGTTCTTTCAAACAAAGGTTCTGCAGATTTCAAGTACCAGAAGGAGGGAGCAAAAGTGATCCCTACTAGACCTATCGCTGCTGGGATGACAATATTTATTTGTCAAGAGTCCCAAGACCAATTTCTAATAAATTGCTCCATTTTTTTTCCATTTTAAACATCTGGAAGAACACAGAGAAGCTGTTCCAAGAGCACTGTACATCAATACTGTAGAAAGAAACATCCCAGTGGTTCCCAGCAGAGGACAGCAAATCCTAACTCCATACATTTCCATTCATGCTTCCCCCAGGAATTGAACACCAAAATTGAGCCTATAGTATACAGCATTCATTGAACAGGTAATTGTGATACCACTTGACTTACTCACCTGTATCTAGTTCCCTTGTCTGGGAATTTCTACAGTAGCTGAGAACCTTTCTTTAAAAGCGACCAGCATAGTATTTCTTTCATTTGTGTTTTGATTTCTTTATGATGCGTAAGGAACCCTCCAAAAGATGTATCCCTCTCTCCTTCCCTCTCCCATCCCCTCTATCTTTAAAACCTTCACAAAGATCCAAAATGTCAAGCCAGACCTTTCCTGTCTAGCTAGAGGTCTTCTTAGCGTGTCGTGGAGATATACAATTTCTAATATGAGAAATGAGGAGCAGAAGCAACCCTTCCAGTGTATCTGTACATGCCATAAAGAAGTGAACACCAATGCACAACCTCATATCCAGTGGCCCTGGGATGCGAAGCAAGGGTGTTTCATAATCCTTGTTCTGATAACTGAGGAACATTTCTGCAGAATACCTAGAACAGGGAATACTTCTCTTCCCTTCATGGCATGGGACACAGGATAAAGTTTACATCCACATGGAAATCAGTGGAGTTGTATTAGATTTACAGCAGTGTAACTGAGCAGAATCCAACCATACACATTCACATGTGTCATGGCTGCTTGTGTTCAGCCAATTTGACTAATAGTGCCTGAAACGCTCTTTGTCCGGTCTTATTCATTCAGTCTGAGAACTCATCATCAGTAGATTCCAGGGTGTCACTGATGAGGGATTGCATTAATATTACATAACTTAGCTTGCTAGATATTAAATTAGCATAGAAATGTTGAGCTGGAAGGGACTTCAAGAAGTTTTCTTATTTCAGCCTCTGGTCTGAGTTAGGATCAAATGTCCCTAGACCAGGGGTGGGCAATTATTTCAGGGCCGCTTACTGAGTTTTGGCAAGCCATCAAGGGCCACGTGACAGGCAGCCAGAGGCAGATAAATATTAATTTTCAAAAATGTTTAGGTGCTCTGCAGGCTGGATAGTATGGCCTGGCAGGCCGCATCCGGCCCATATTTTGCCCACCTCTGCCCTAGATCATCCTGAATAGATGTTTGTTCTCATCTTGAAGACCTCCAGCGAAGGGGATTCCACCACCTCTCCAGGTCACCTGTCCCAATGCTTAAATATCCCTACAGTTAGAAACTTTTCCTAATATCCAACTTAACCCTTCTGTGTTGCGTCATCAGCAGAGACCCTTTCCTGTTGGAGAACAAGAGACAGTCTGTGCAAGTCTCCAAATCCTTTTTGGGAAAAGAGTATCACTGCTGGAAACAGACTTTTGCCTTCTGGCACTATTAGCCCTGCCTTACTTGTATCCTAGTCACTGTTAAGAGAAGGGAAA